AAAGACAGACACGTTAGGTTTCTAGGATACTTTTATTCCCCCAACTCTCTGGCACCAGTATTCTCCTTTGTTTTGAATTTTGAAATTAAAATGTAATTCATTATTTATTATTTTTTATAAAATATCAAAATATACTTCAGTATTTATTCAGTTGAGGTAGCTGATTAGCAACGCAGAGTATTTTCTTTCTTTTGTTTTTCTTGGCACTGGCCGGAGTGAACAGTGAGCTAATGAGTACTAATGTAATTAAACACGGTTGTGCACGAAGTCATGCCGGCTTGCGTAAAACGTACTCGTTTATTTATCTTTTCTTGTATTCAATTCAGTATATTATGCACTCGAATTCAATTTTTGTTTTATTTCTTTTTGGCACCGTTCTTTCTTTCTTTTTTTTTAAATTTTGCTCCTTTCCTAACACTAAACAAATACTCGTGATTAGCTTACGGCGTGTAATTATACTCATCCATGCGTTTAAAGCGGGAAAAGGTGCAGAAACAACCAAACAGGTAGGTGGGCATAGGGTCAATGTTGAATTAATTAGATGAACTTTGCAAGGATCGGTAAAATAAAAGGTAAAGAGGTTGAGGGGAAATCAATATTTCATGCTCCGATCCGCCCATAATAGAAGGTAAAGTGGGCAAAGTAAAAAAAATTGGTTCCTAAAACGAAAGAGAAATAGAAATTATGGAGCAAGCAAGCTGGTTTATAGATAGAGGAGAGGTGTCCTCTCTCAAGACAGATCAACCATGAACTATCAAGCGGCAGGAGGACTTGGAGGAGAGAGTGAGGGGAAAAAAGGTACCCAGCTTTGACCAGCCCTCTTTTTAAACACCTTGTCATAACCATATATTTCACACTTGTTCATGTAACCCGCAAAATAAACACATTTTTATTCCACTGTTAATAATTTGTTACTGACATGAATTGTTTTAAATTACTTGCTTCGGACTATAATATAAGGCATTTTTTTAGGAACTTTGCTTGGTCCACTAGCTCTACCCCAACTTCATTTGTTACATTTTAAAAAAAAATGATGCATTCTAATTTTGATTATCATTATGAAAATACTTATATAAAATATTTAATGAAGATAAAAATAAAAATATATAAGCTTTTAAAACCGTGTAATAGTTACCAAGCCTTATATTTTTGGTCCAGAAGTAACATATGTTTTAGACTTGGAGGCTAAAAGAATCGTGATTTAACGTTTTTAGGGCCACATATTTTGGGCCTGGCGGCTTATTCGACTGTGAATGCAGCCCAGTTGAAGCGCTCCTTCACACGATCATTGCATGATGTATTGGCATGATCATTTATAATTCAGTCGAACACAAAACCACCCCCCCCCCCCAAAAACAGAGGGAAAAATAAAAAACCCAAACACTCTAGCTCCCCGCTTCTATTTTTTAACCACCAATTTAAACTCAATTTCAAATGTAACTTCTTTAATACGTGTATATTAATTGAGACCATTTAGGTGTCAAATGGAAATTAGACAGTGGATTGTTTTTTTTATTATTCGAGAGTCCATGTTTTTGTCAAAAATGTCAAAAGTAATTTACTTAAATAAAATGTCTAAAAAATATTTCAGAAAAATAACGTGCATTGCAACCTCCTCATTTCTTGATACCTTACATTGGGACAAATCCAGAAATCATCATGTCAGGAGTCATAGCTGAAAATTTATCTAAAAGTAGGGGTTAAGATTGATTTTGACATTTTTTTTTTACAAATAAGAATATACCCATTTACAAAGAATATATTAAAGTAGGGTGGAATGGCCCTGCATACCCCTTAAATTCATTGGTCACTTACCATACCTTCCATTTTATTGATGAATTAAATCACCCTTCTTTTTAATGACCATGATTGATGCATCTCTCATCCATATTTTAATCATTTTAGTTTTATATCTATTTTTTAATCCATTTTATTATTTTCATTTCTTGCGAGCAAACAGGCAGGGGAGTTTTATGCAATCCATGGACAAACAAATTGGGCACAAAATATAGAGTAGAATCCTGCAAGGCCAGGCAAGAAAAGTAGACACCCTGAGTTTAGGGGCTCTGATAATGGCCCATTATTTATGATTCTTGATCTGTCACTTTCTGGATCAGGCCATAAATGTCGAGTAGTATTCCGCTTTCTTTTTCCCAGACAAGTATTTCCAATTCACGCAAAAGTGAATGTATCGTATTATTGAGCAGGGAAATAACATTCGCACCTAGTCTGTCGTTCCTTTTCATGTGTTATTCCCCGTGTCAAGAAAACTAGATCAATTATCAAACTGATTGAAGTATTGATTTGCGGTTTAATAATTAGATCGCCATCTAAACTATAATTCAACCGATCATAGATAAATGAATGCGTTTTAAATAATATATGTTTAAAATAAAAAATAAATATTATATATAATAATAAAATTGAATTTTTAAATTTGGAACAAGATCATATAAAATAAAAAGGCTAATATCCACTAATATTATGTCATTTAAATCAAATATGTATATACTTATTTCATGATTTATAATTTTAAAATATATACATATATAAATATTTTATACATATTTCTTGCATATTTATTCATTTTTCTTTATTTATCAATGCTTACTAAGCATGATTGTTATAAATTGTAGTTCACAAATATGAATTAATTAAAAGTTTAAAAATAAAAAAATTTAAAAAAAAATAATAGAACTGATTCAATCTGTCTTTTCATTGGTTTTGGCCGGTGATTAGCCAGTTCATACTGTGACTGGCCAATCCAGTCTAGTTGTCATAACAATGAAATGGCTATTCCTTCTTCACTTCGCTGCCGCAAGGGCTAACTTATCCGAAATACTAGTAATAATAATAACAGCCAAATCCAGTCTTTAAATTTCCAGTCCCTCTTTGTGCCCCCGTGAAATCCCACCAGATAATATACATCATGCTAGGGCAGGAAGTCTTAAAAAATTCAAAATAACTTCATGAGAAAACACAATATTTAATTCTTATAATTTTATCGAATTTTATTTATAATTGTTGTAGTTTTTTTTAATATTTTCAATCTCTGTAATTTTAATAAGATTAGGTGACGTTTGTTATTCAACTCTTTAATAATTTTAATATTTTTAGTGTTTTTAGTTAAGATTGAAAATATTTAAAAAAAATCTACAGAAATTTAAAAGAAAAACTTATAAAAAAGAGAGAGAAATGATTGTGTTTTCTCTGACTTCATTTATTAGGTTGTTGGAAGGGAGAGTGTATTGACGAATTCAGTCCCACGTCAGGGAAGGCTAGTTACGGTTATTGTTGACGCGGAAGTTTTCAGGGAAGCGCGACAAGTGACTTAAATAAGAAGGCAGGAAAAGGCGTGGAATATGCAGTGGGAAGGGAGGCGTGCATGTGGGTACGGTGAGGCCAGAGTTGGGCCAATTTAGGGGGGAGCGAAGAAAAGCAAGCCAATTAGTTTGGTACGAGGGACGGAGCCAGGCGACTTGGGCGTTGACAAACACTTTCGCCGCTTCTTGTTCGTCGCAAGCGTTTGCTTTGTGTGCAATTTGCACCCTATGCTTTTTGTCCCCACCTTCAAAATCCTTCCCTTGGTCGGGACGCTTTTGGATTACGCCCGTCCCACCGCTTTTTATATTTTATTATTTTTATCTCTCGCCATTAGGTGGCTCTGTAATTTCAGTTCATGGTCATAACATGCATGGAACAACCGTGCCCTGACACGTGTACTGGGAGTCATTCATATGATTGTCGTGTCAAGATGCGGTGGATCCCGGCATATCATTTTGCGCTTCTCACTCTTTTTTACCCCCAAATTGAAATACCCACTGCATTTGTGCATTCATTAATTCATTAGCCCGTGGCCCGCATCTTCCCTGGTTAACGGGTCAGTCTCATGGTGCTGCATTAATGTTCCTGTGCAAGGGTTCAATCGATCTTGTAGAGACAGAGGAAGGTTCATTCCGTTTCATCCGGCGGTTGACAGGATATTTGTCTGAAGCTACTCTCCACCAAAGCTCTCTCTTTTTTCAAAATACAAATTAATTAATTAATTTTGGGTGCGAGGAGAAGTTGCTTTAGATTAGGTAAAAGTTGCATGAAACTGAGACATGTGCAGAACATATGAATATGATCGCTGGTGATCATAGCACAATTACAAAAAGCCGGATTTAATGACGAGATTAGCTTCATTAGCATATGTGCATGCACATATAACCCCATCCCCATGCATCATGCATTTTGAATTTATTGTGCTGCTCATCTCCTCATGATAGCAAATAAAATCACATATTAAATTTTAAGATGACAATAATCTGTTCATGCCATTAAAAATACAATTGGACTATTCTCGAGTCAATTTCAATTCGTTGTATGATTATGTTTCAGAAATCCTAATAAAAAACAAAATAAAACGATAATCATCATTGAAGCTAAAAAAATAAACACAATCAGTTTTTTTTAATGAAATATTCAGATGATGCTTAATTACATCAATTCACGTGGTTGAAATGAAGAGGAGAGAAGTATAAAATGATACGCCCCAGATTGTGGGATCTGACAATGTGATGCCCTCAATACAATATTTCCTATTATTTATTTATTTATTTTTTTTTTTTCACTATCCAACAACATACTCAAGGTTTAAAAAAAAATCAACAACTTTTTTCTTACCTCTGGGCTCTAGCAATTTCAACCGTACAAAATTCAAAACACAAGTTCAATCACATTGTTATTTTGACGATTCGGAGTCGGATTTAAAAGGAATACTTTCATGACTATAAAGGACTTGATGTCCATTATGACGTTAAGAAACCGCGGCCAATCAATCAAAAAGCCTGATGAAAGAATGGGGCGTCTGAATTGAACGGTCGAGATTCGGTAACCCGATGGACCCCACCGAACCCGAACCTTGGAACTCCTTATACCGTGGGACCCACGGTGCCGAATCGAAAAGCGATGACTGAGCAGGAGGGGAGAAAACGGGACCTCTACCTACAAAAACCAACGAAATTTCCATGGTGTGACGGAAACATGGAAAGGCTAGCAACAGAGACGGAATGAGAATTAGAGGAAAGTTCAGAATTTTAACATAATAGAGGAGAGGCACGGCCACACACATCGTTTCAGAGAGGAAGAGCTACCTTCACCATTCCTCGCACTCTCTTTTGATCATATCCCTCATCCTCTTCCTCGCCCAATTCGCAGCTGGTTTCTCATCCATTTTCTGCAATCTGATAGTTATTAGTTATTCGTGGAGGAGGCCGGATATTGAGCCTGGACTAGTTCGAGTTGTTTGATCTGTTTTCAGCTGTATTGGGTCCTAGGACGAGGTGATGGAAGAGAGCCGAGTGTGCCAGGGGAGCGTGATTAGATCCCTTCTGTCAATTCTTCAATGGTGGGCTTTCAATGTGACTGTAATTATCATGAATAAGTGGATCTTCCAGGTATGTTTCCGGCTCTCTTGGTTTTTTTCCCTGAAAAAGTTTTCTCGTTGTTCCCCATTAAATTTCTGTCATAATTTTTATGCTTCATTCCACCCTTCCCCACCTTTTGTTTTTGACAAAGTATGTCGCCATATATTGTTTGGGACTGTTTGTTCCCGTAACTAGTTTTATATAACCTTGTTTCCGTAATCTGTTACATTCAGTCTTTTTTAAGTTAATTGTAACTCTCCACTCATGTGTGCAGTTTGATTTGAAACAATGAGGGACTGCTATTATTTCATCACTTGGGACAACTCCCATTTTTCTGTTATGTTTCATTTGTTAGTTGCATGTGAAACGGAATTCACCCCATAAATGCTGAAACTTGATCCGTCAAATTCTCAGAAGCTGGAAAGATCAGAAATTACCAGAGTGAATGGAACTCTATGAGAATATAATAACTTTTTAAATTCCTATAACTGAATCCTTTAGACTTTCTTTACTTCGTAATATACCATTTGATTAATGAAATTCCAGTCTTTATTCAACAGCATGTTATTAATGGAGCTAGACCTGTTTCACAAATGCGATTCTCTTAAACGATCCATAAACTGTATTCAAACACGTAATTGTAATTTACCACGTCGATAAATTATCCGATTGGGCAGGCTTGATTGACTTTGTTATGCACTTAATCGACCTTTAGAATTAGTGATGATTGTGTCAGTATGTAGGCATATTTTATTGAATTAAATTGTTATAATTTCCCTATTATTTATATCCTTTTATGTTCCTGTTTCATCAGTTTTGTAAAAATGTTTATCAATCTTTCTGTATTTCCTTCCTTGGCACCATGGTCACTCGATCACCATATTGAAAAATTTTATAGATCATAGCAAATGCCATAAATCTAAGAATATCTTTGTCAAATTTTCCTTTCAGAAATTGGACTTCAAGTTTCCACTTACAGTATCCTGTGTCCACTTCATCTGCTCAGCAATGGGAGGACACGTGGTGATTAAGGTGCTGAAACTAAAACCCCTGATAAGTGTTGACCCGGAAGATCGTTGGAGAAGAATCTTTCCAATGTCCTTTGTGTTCTGTATAAACATAGTGTTGGGGAATGTGAGCTTAAGATACATTCCAGTTTCTTTTATGCAGACAATAAAGTCATTCACACCTGCAACCACCGGTAAGGTCCAATAATTGGTAACATATCCCCCGTCATACATATTGCTGAATTTCAAAATTATTGAGAACAATTTCATCTGATTATAATTAACTCTTGCAGTTGTTTTGCAATGGCTTGTTTGGAGAAAACAATTTGATTGGCGTATTTGGGCTTCTCTTGTACCCATTGTCGGTGGGATCCTTCTCACATCCATCACAGAGCTTAGTTTTAATATGTTCGGATTTTGTGCTGCATTATTTGGCTGTTTGGCAACATCTACAAAGACCATTCTTGCGGAGTCTCTTCTACATGGGTACAAGTTTGACAGGTAGGATCTTTGTATTTGGCTTTCCTTCAACAGTTGCATTTTATTATTCTTTTGCTTTTTCATCTGTCTGGATTTTTTTGTGTGTAAACTTAAATTACATGTGTCTGTATCACCTACTACTGTTCTGGTCGATGAATAGGTTCTTAAGATCATTTCCCCCCAATTTAGAACTCCAAAATTTTCCATATTGGAGTTTGGATAATTGTTAGGTGCTGTCAAGCTTATATACTGCACAGGTTCCAGCATAAATTAAGCATAATAGTAAAAGGATCATGTGCGTGATATGATTGACCTTGTTTTTGCACAACAACCTGATGCACATTCAGCTAAACTTAACTGGAAGTTACACCAGAAACAGTCTTGGCATATGGGAGGTTTTATTTCAAGGTTCTTGCTCTGTTTGAAAGTTGGGAAATTTAAGATTTGCCATCTTAGAACTAATAAATTTTAACTAATGACATAATTGCAATTGCATATCACTATATCATATATATATATATATATATTATTTGGTTAGAAATGACAACTGCAGATGCATGTCGTTTAGCTTCATAATTGCATAAAATATTATTAGATATAGGCAGGTTTAAACCTAACTTGGTTGGGGAAACAAATACCTTTCTATATGGGTGTTAAAATGAACTGACTTTTTGTATTTTAAAATTAAATTGGTGATTAAACCGGTTACAACATTATTACTATTTATTGGTCTAGTTGTGGTTAGGCTATAGTTGAATAGGTAATAATTGAATTGCTTCAACACTCCCATTACTTTTCATTTTCAGATTTGTCCAACAACTGTGCCATTTTATAGGAAAATGTTTAAGAAATTCAAAATTGACTGTCTCTTGAACTGGTCCTGTTTTGAGTGGTTCAACTGGATCTTTGGCATGCTTGTTCTATGTGTTCACTAAACCAGTTTAGTAGCCAGTTTGATTGGTTAGACCGGATCCAGTTTTCTATTTAGTATTTGATATTAACAATCATGGATACACAGTGCACGCATTGAAACAATTATGGCGTCTTGCAGTTTGAGTCTAAAGGTAAATTAGCATAAATTGTCTCCCATGCACATTCCATTTGTGCGCATTCAAACATGTTTCATATGCTAAATGATGGTTCCTCAGTTTCTTTTTGTTTTTGTTTTTTTTATTGGCTGGTTTCTCTGAAATTCGCGGGCTTGATTTTGCTGCAGTATGAAGCTGATATATCTTTTTGTGTATTTTAGCATAAACACAGTTTATTACATGGCACCTTCTGCAACCATGATCATGGCACTACCAGCAATGTTAGTTGAAGGCAATGGAGTTCTCGATTGGTTTAATACTCATCCTTATCCTTGGTCGGCCCTTACCATTATTTTAGGCTCGGGGGTTTTGGCTTTCTGCCTTAACTTTTCGATCTTTTATGTAATTCACTCCACAACTGCTGTCACGTTCAATGTTGCCGGAAACCTCAAGGTGAGATTTGAGGCAGATTTAGGTGTTTCAAGCTACCCTATTTTGTCTTCAATCTTCCCGCATGAATTCAAAATTTTCATTGTGAGACGGTTCAACAGACCGAGAATTTGTTGACACATTGTCATTATTTCAACAACGATACCTGTCCTCTATTTTCCTGCTTCAACAGCATAGCTTCATACTTGATAGGATGGCATTGTCTCTCTAATTGCTTGTTTATGAGCAAGTGCATGTCTAACTTGTGATTTGTCCCGTATAATAATGGTAAACTTTCCTTTCAATTTAAGTATGAAATCACACTATATGTGCAGGTTGCAGTCGCAGTCCTTGCTTCCTGGCTGATATTTAAGAACCCAATTTCGGCTTCAAATGCTTTTGGATGTGCCGTGACTCTTGTTGGATGTACTTTCTATGGCTACGTCAGGCAAATGCTGTCCCGGCAACCCCCACCAGTTCCTGGAACACCCCGAACCCCGCGAACTCCTAGGACGAAGATGGAGCTGCTTCCTCTTGTAAATGATAAATTAGATGACAAGGTCTGATTTACATGCTTTGTGAAACTTCTCTGCCGTTTGCCTCGCGGCAGTAGATTAATATTTTTCACCTTTACAGTTATTTGTTCCATTAGATCACTCACAACACATAATATTTTTCCTTAGATCTCCATCTTTGTTTTCCGGCTTCTCTATTCACTCAAGTTCTTCTCTTCATAAGGATTCTCCTTTTTTGGGCTCTATTTAACGGTGAACAGGGTTTGAACCTGTAGGCCCATGGTTGATTCATAATAGCATGTAATTTCTGTTAGTTGTAATTATCATTCGGTGAAGTTTACAAGTCGGTGCATATGTTTTGTTCAGCTAATATTGATTTGATTTTATACAAAATTCAACTAAAAGTTCTCAACAACGCCAATATCATTCCTTGGTCGTAATCTTTTAGATGGTCATGAATAATTTACGAAAGAAAAATCAAACGAAGGATGGGGTCACCAGCATGAGAAGCACAACCCATAGTCTTCATCACTCAAAAAAAAACAAAGAAAAAACCAAAATGATGTGTTAAATTATACCCTCAAATCACATATCATCAGTACAAGGATGTAATTAGTAGATACAGGCCGAAGCTGAAACGATGCAACGTTAACATGATAGGTTACTCTTCATGCTTATTACTTGTGAGGATCCTAAATAGCAACAAGTGGGTTAAGCTTAAGCCAGTAGCCAGAAATTCTTCTGCCATCTAGTGCTGATGAAGTAGCCATTAGTCCCTTGGCTTCGCTTCCTCACTCCTATCGCCAAGCAATCAGCATTGTTGATGCACTGCTCTACAAATTCCTCCGTGCTGCCGCCGCCGGTGGTTCCACATAAGCTGCCAGAAACGAAATTGATTATAACAATGCATGATTAAAAAGATTCACGCCAACCGATCACAGAACTATGGTTGGGATTTGCACAAGATTCTCACCAGTTGAAGAGAAAGGACTGTGGCTTCTTTTGGCCCAATACCAAAACAGATGCCTCCAGCTTCTTGACTTGGCTCAAAACCGTGGCCAGCTTTGGCCCTTGAATTACAAGTGCTTCCACCTCCACCTGTGTCAGTGTCACCCCAACACATTCTCAATAAAATAAAGAGGCGCGGAAAACAAAAGCTGAAACTCTGAACCGCTCCCATGATACCTCTCTGGATACTTGAGGTAAAGGTAACGTTGGATACAGGAAAACTCGGACCCAGTCAGACTCTTGGCCTCCAAACAAGCGAATGGGGAGCCAAAAATTAGGAGTAAGCCACTGCCTCTCGTGTGAGGCAGGACAGTTTAAATTTAATAATTTTATTTTTATTTTTTATTTATATTTTTAAATTAAAAAATATAAAAAAATTATAAAAAAATTTAATAAATATATTTATCAATAAGTTCAGATTTAATACAGATAATTTAAATTTTAAATTAACTTTTTTTAAACAGAATAGTAAATTTATTAAAAAAATTTAACATTAAATTATTGATATTAAATCTGTCAAATTGATAAATATATTTATCAAAATTTTCTTACAGTTTTTATATATTTTTATTTTAAAAATATAAATAAATAATAAATAATAAAAATATTAAATCTGGACCGTTCAAATTAAATCTGAACGGTCCAGATTAACCCCCTGCCTCTGAGCCTTCGAGAGAAGCCGAGTCCCAAAAATTATGGCTAAAGAAATGTTAAGAAAAAGGAGGGTCTATTCCACCCTTTAGAGCAGCTTTGAAATGCTCAAAGTAGCTCAATTCAAGATCTAGGGAGGAAATGGCTAACCCCTGGCCTCGCTCTAGAGGCAAGAACTCGCCAGAAAAAGGAAAAAAAGAAGCAAGCAGGAAAGAACAGAGCCCGTGCTCAAGACAATCTTGAGAAGTGAAGGGTAAAATAACATTAGAGAGACATAAAAACGAGGCAGAAGAGTAAAAAGATAAAACAGAAGTACCTCTGGTTTGCAATCCTTGCAAAGGGACCCTAGATAGTTGACGAGATAGGTAGAACAAGAAGAAGAATCAGATCCCTTGTGAGGAGGAGGGACAATGTGAAGCAGGGTGAGCAAATCACCCTTATTTGCTACATGGGTGAGGGCCCACATCATAGCATGCTTGGAATGTGCGGTGGGATCGACTACCACCATCACTCTCTTCCTCACCTCGTTCCCATACGAGCAGCTAAAGCCTTCCATCTCACTCAGACTTCCCTCACACCCAACACCGGTGCTAAAGTTGTTGCTCGCACTCCACCTGCTCGATGTTGATCTCCAAGCCTCCTTCACACTCAACTGCCTCAAAAATGACCCCGAGCTATGCATCCTCTCTTTTATACACGTACTAGGCCTTAATCCTCACGAGCTGATGAGAAAGAACGAGAGGTGGGTGGGTGCTAGAGTGTAGCAGAGGTCATGACAAGTTATTCCCCAGAAGAGAGAGAGACAGAGAGAGATGAAGGCTTTGCGGTGGGAATGAATGGGTGCTGCAGGGTTAGGGGAGAAGGAGGGGTTATGATGATCGCAGGGCAGGTTAAGGCGTCACGGGAATCCCTGGCTAGTCGTAGCTTTATTGTTGAGAGATGGAGCGATAAATGGAAAGTGGTGCAGTGTGTTTTGATGATGAAACAGAGGATCTTTGTACGATCTCTTTCATCTATATTTCTCTATTTCAGACTTCAGATTCCCGATGTTTAACACGACTTTGACATCTTGTGTCATTGAGGGCTTCGCTGCATATAAAACAAGCAAATTACCCATTTCCTATGATGGGTTACCTCACGCCACATGATGCACATGATCATCCTCAGTGGTCCATCTCTGGTCCTTTTATGATGAGATTGTTCCTCGGCTTAATTATATTATCATCAATTTGTGTATACACGTATAATTAACTAAGGCCGCTCCATTTTTCTGTATGAATGACAAAAATGAGCGCCTCGTCATCATTGTAAGTTAAAAGCAAATTTCAGCCACTTCGATAGGAAGCATCAAGTGGGCAAAAAAATTTATTGCGGTCAGAGCTCCATGGGCTTGAGCGGCCATTATGGTGGACCATAATTGAAGTTTGGATGGAAAAAACAGAGGCAAGAGGAACACATAAAACAACCAAGCTGTTACATTATGCTTCAGGGGAGATTTTTTTTTTTAAATTCTGATTATAAGTTTTATTTAGGGAGAATGACAAATAAGAACTTTATAAAAATATTAATATATTTAAAAATTTTAATATTAAAACATGATAGAAAAAACATTGAAACTTGATAATATCAGTGTTGAAATGTCCTAATTTAACATTAATACTCTTATAAGGTCCTTATTTGTCATTCTCCCTTATATTTATTAAATATTTATCATAAATTTTTCATTTTGCTTTTCATTGAATATTGATGAGATAAATTATATTCTTTTCATCCCAAATTATATGATACTTTAAAAAAAATTCATTTCAAAATATAACACATTTTAGATAGATTAATATTTCATTAAATGCGTTCATTCTGATATTACATTCTCTCTCTCTATAATTAAGTTTCGTCCCTCTTTTTTCAATATATAAAATGATTAGTATTTTTAAAGTATATATTTTTATTTTAAAAAAATAAAATTATTAAGTGTATTTAATAAAATTTATTGTCATGTAAAATTTTATTTAAAAATATTTTATAATTTGAGACAGATAGAGTATTATTAAAATATACATATCTAATTGAGATAAAATTAAGAATTTATTAAATTTTTCTGCAAAGTTAATAAATCACAGAATTTTTCTTGAATCCAATAGAATACATGTTAAATATGATTTATAAAACAATCATAGTCATAACAAATTTCCGAAGTACTTGTTAGATTTACCTCTTGCCCCCATAATCCCTGTCCCTTGTTATCCTGGGGAATTTATTGGCATATTTGGGGGAGCTGCGCATTGTTAGGCACAAAATTTGCTTAATGAAAAGGTCGAGAATGAAAGCAAAAAACAAATATATGATGGGTTTCTTTACTTACGGTTCACTCGTCAGTTGTCAGAGCACAGTAAAAGAATCCTGAGCAGTGACACGTTTTATAGTATAATAGATAATAATAACAAAAGCAAATTCGAAAATAAAAAAAAATGGGATTGATTGGAAATTGCGAGGATGTGTACAGAACAGATGAAGGAGGGGTGTCAGAGTTGGGACCTCTCGTGAATTGGGTTTTGTTTGCGTTTGGAAGTGATGCGTTCTGAATTCTGATGGGAGAGCAGACCAACTCACCCTCTTTTCCCACTCGTCGTACTTGCAAATAATTGCTCCCGGGAAACTCGCTCCACCCTCTTTTACCATTCTACCCTTCTTCATTTCTCTTTTTCACCCCTCAAACCACTCTTCTCCGCCACCCTCTCTGATTCTTCATTAAAGACAATTTTTTTAATTAATTAATTTAATTTGACACGGCTTTTGCATCCATGTGAGCCATAACTACAAAAATGTATTGCTATCCCTTGGCCCTGCATGAATGAAGGGTGCTGACACGCTGGTACTATGGATTTAATTTGCGCCGGTCAGTCCACTCAGGTTCAGAGGTTGTACTATTATTTAAATCGATTTTTTGTTTTTTGGGTTCCATTGTTCGAACGTCGAAGGGAAATGGCAAACCAGACCAATATCGCGCCGACGACCGTTGATCCTGAAAGTTTGAGCTTTGTGAATTGGCAATGGCAGTCAACAGGGGTCAGCGAACTGATTGGGTATTGAGACGATTAGAGAGGGATTCAAATGAATAGGATACTGACGAATTAGCGTTCAGCGACATGCGCCTTCGCAACCCGTGACGTGATTGAAATATCAAACGGTATCAGCATGTATAATCATTCCTTTGGCCCAAAAAAAAAAATATTAAAATAAAGCATATATAATCATTCATCATTCTATTACAATACCTGACAAGGCATTATCTCTTTCATGCGATATAACATGGGCTCGCATTTGTTAGGACGTCGACTACTACGTATGAACACTGTTTGTAAACACAGCACTACACTAACGCCTGATATTATTGAATTAGCAAAATGGAAGGGAATTAGAAAGGAAATCCTGATCTAACCGTGTTTGGCAATTAAGAGTTGTAATTCTCAAAAAATCTGATTCTATAAAAAGTGATTGAATCCAATTCGATCACACCTTCTCCTTTTCGCACCTCTGCCTCCAATTTGACCCTCTCCTTCATCCCTTCCCTTAATTATCAAACGCTGCATCTCATGGCAATAGGTGGTTGCACTTCACATTCATGAACCAAGTAATATCTGCGACAACTGTTGGGTGATTTTGACAATAGCCATGCAAAATTTCTTGTTTTTGTGATGGCGTCCTTCAACATCCTCTTCTCATGAGTTTTTCTTCTCAGTCTCCGATGAGTTTCCAGTCCTTCTTGGCCTGATAGTGTTGGTAGGGATAAGAGAGAGAACAAGGCAAAGGACAAAAAGGAGGAGGTCCTTTTAATTGAAAAAAAAAAAGACACTTTGATCTCTTCTTATTTAAAATAAAAATATGTATTAAAATTAAAATTTTGTTAAAATTTTATCTTCATATCAAACACATTTTTAAAATTTAATTCTATTCATGTGACATGAATGCTATTTTTAATGTTAAAATCTACTTATCAATTTTTGGGGTTGGTTTGTTGTGATCTCATATAGCCATTTAAGCTTATATAACATCCAATTAGACTCATACTTTTGTTATTGGAAAAATTATATTCAACTTCTTTTCAGAGGAATTAATTATAAATAAAAATCAATATGAAATGTATTACTATTAAAATAAAAATATGATTTTTTTTTAATGAGACTTATTATTGATCTTTATCTATAATTAATTTTTTTAAAAGGGAAATGGAATATTTTATTATTTATTAGTTATCCATACTTAGTTGGCCCAAAAAAATCCATCTCAAGCCTAACTCGATGAGGCCAATAAAAAAAATGGCCTACCCAAAATAAAATATAAAAAAAGCATAGATTCTTAAATGTATTTTAGATGGACACAAGTGTAATATTTTTCCACCCTCTTAAAGTGTGAATCACATATGGGACTCATTAAAGTAGAAAATAACTCACACTGCATTCTCTCTAGAACATAGAACCACTCTCCCATTTCTCTCTCCCTCTCCTGCTGCGAGAACTCGAACTGAGTTCTTATCATAACTTGGTTCCTGTGCAACGATTAACCGTGCTGCTAACGGGTTGTTTCCTTCTCCACTTCCTTACTTCGTTATTGTTCTATAGAAAATAACCGAGAGAGAGAGAGAGCTAAAATCTTTTTGGGAGGATTTTGGGGAAATCTAGAATTCCGCATCGACAAGCATATGCTTGACATATGGAGGGAGGCGAGTTTAGGAAGTGGCTTCAAAAAGAACATTGCAATTCATTGAATTTAATAATGTTTAAATCAAAACGAGTTAGATATACAATAGATAATAATAGAAAAAGCTGCAGTGGGAAAAAAACAAATCCGAAAATTTGATGGCGGGATTGTAAAAGAGAAAGAAGAGGGTAAGAGAGAGTGAGGGGGTAATAATTAAGCAGGGACACTCATGCCGCAGCACACAGTGACACAGGTATGGGGAGGGACCAAACCAAACAAAAAAAGAAAACGAAGCATCTAGTTGAATGTCAGGTTGGGGATGCAAAGCATGAGGAAGCAATCCCATACTCGTCCGCAATAGGCTTCAACAATCATGACAAGGTATTGAGTTTTCCAGATTTGCTGAGTAATACAGCCACGTCACTACAGGAAGGCGTTTGGCATTAGTGTCATGATTCCATTCAAAGCTCCACTCCCTCTAGTATTGTTTAATTCTTTTCCAGCACAGGCAGTTAAAACTATAGACAGAGGACTGAAAACTATGGGGAAATGAAAAATCTGAGAGAGATGGCACTTTCAAATCGAGAGCCAAAATATTTGTTTTTTAAGAATATTTTTAAAAGTTTTCAAAGTGAAGCGGTAATGCCCCCAGGAAAAAACCCTCCCTTCTTGTGGTAGTGAATGACGATTAAGGATGACCTGCCCCACCAACACAAGGCTTGAGTAGTCATAGAAATAAAAGATTTGAAGCCAGGGAAGGTGCATCTATTAACTAGTATCCCTATTGAGATTCAGGTACAGGGACAGAAATGAAAAGGGTAGAGAAAAATTGTATTATTCTGAATGTATGTGTTATAGTATATATAATGTGAGGCCATTTGAGATGCACACACAGTGACGAATTTAAGCACTCTAAATTTTTTAAAAAAATAAATACAATTTTATTTATAAAAAATGTAAAAATTACTGTTAGCCTCCCACATTTGGACAAAATTTCAATTATGGCCCCCACATTTAGAAAAATTTCAATTTCGACCCCCCATATGATGAATTTTGGATTCATCCCTGTGCACACATGTACAAGTATAACAAACTAACAACTCATCATTATTACATAACAAATATATTAATTGACTTTTATAGCCATTCGTAAACCAAAGGTGATACAACTAAGATAAAAATATTCTCTAACAGCTACCCATAAGTCAAAGGAGCTAGCCCACGTAAAAAACTTTCAACTTAGCCTTTAGTGTGGTAAAACAAGCATGAGACAAAGGCTTGATAAAAACATATGCAATTTGGTCTATAGAGGTTACATCATATTCTACTTGGATTTGACTTTGTAATACTTTGTCATGAACAAAGAATTAAG